CTTAGTTTCACTTTCTGGGTGCAAAAGCATGCTCTGCAAAAGTATGCACTTTCCGGTCACGACTTTCGGCACAGAGTGTACTCAGAGTTGGGCCTTTTAAGATTATAAACTTAAACTCAGTTTAAAGGGGTTATACCTGCACCTGTAATACAAATTATAACATAATGCCAACAGCTTCAATAAATGCTTTGATGAAATGATGATTAATGCAATGATAAAGATGATAGTTATGAACAGTAGCAGTAAAATAATTTCCCTGATCTCCACAGTACCCCTGCCCCTGGAGGGGGAAACTGCACCCAGACCCAGGTGGTGTTACCCTTTTCCCTGGGGTGGGGAGAAGCAGACTAGATAGAGAGTCAAACAAGGAACATGCAGCACTAAAACACAGGTTACATACCAGTGTTACCTTCTCCTTCTCTGTCAGTCAAGTCCATTTTGTTAGTGTAGTGGCAGTGGTGTGTAGGCTGGCACCAGCGTTCAATCTGTGCTAACTGCAGGAGGCTCCGTTGACATCCTTTTTGCTGACAAATATTCGCAACTGTCAAACCTTTGAGTTGCAGAGCAGCTGAATAGAGGAATATTGTTGACGTGCCCACTGTTCAGCATAAGTTCTCATGCATTTAGCATCACAATCTTTAAAAATCAATCAACAAGGCTTGAGGGTTGACTTTTCCCATCACCCATGGACCAAAAACTGCCCCATGGTCAGTGAACAGGTGTGGAAATCACCACCAAAGGTATGCCTATCCAACACATTTTGTGCCATGATGTGCAGTGTGGCAGTCAGGAATTGGACCCAAAATGCAGGACTCAGAGGAAAAATGTGAACTCAAAAACTCTGCTTTGATGCAGGCTTGGAAGGAATACAAAACAATAACAAACTAAACTGGGAAATCCAAGAATATAACTCACGAGAGAAACTGCAGCACGAGAGGGGAACCGCCGTTAACAACATGACAACAAGAACTAACTGACAGGGACTAAAATACACTGGCAGGCACATGAGGAAACGAGGAACAGGTGGGCACACAGATGGGACTCGTGGACATAACGAGACACAGACCTACAAAGTAAAACAGGAAACACACAGACTATTTTGCAACACAAACGTGGGGACCTGAACTGAGCACAGAGGGAAGACACAGGTAGGGATAATAAACACGACGACCAAACCCAAAGAACTAATACAAAATCAGAATAAACTAGAAAATGATAATAATAAACTCAAAGCGCTGGGTCACCAACCCAGGACCATGACATTTTGTTGTATTGTAATTTGCTCACCAGTAGAATACACTGCAAGCACTGACTGCTGTGGCCTCCCACCTCCCTTAGCTGTTGTCACAGTAAATTGTACATTTAAAATTTCAAGATGCTGTTAACACTTACTAACACATATTGTACCACTGACGCCCAGCTTCTTTGTGGTCAGAGAAATGCCTAGAGTAAGGTTTTAATAGGGGTTGAAAAGTGGATCAACTGTTTACAGTTTGCACTCTCTATTTAAAAAAACTAATTGATTACATTTGCACTTTTAAAGAGATGAAGAATCAGAGTGAAGCATATTTTTATTTCTGTCAGAAACCATTCACTTTTCAATTGTAATGTCATAAAACTTGTAACATGTAATAAAACTTTGATAAAAGTGTATGGTCTCAAGAGGCATCTTATGTATGACATGAATCCTTGTTCTCAAGAGAGATTTTTCATATTTTCATTATTTTTTTCTTAGCTCATTCCAATATTTCCTTCATTTCATTCCAGTTTCATTTCCAGTTTTGTTCATTTTTGAAAGAAAGATAAAAGCACTTGAAGATAAAAAAGTAAAGAGCTGTTGGTTGTGCTCGCTGTTGCCTTCTGTCAAGCTGCCAGTCCTCCCTCAACCATCAAGACCAGGCGAATAACAGACAAGTGTCCAATTCCATAATCAGACAGAAGTTTGTCTTCTCTGTCCAGCCGCTTGTCTTTCACAATCATCTGTAGATCATCTGTCCAAGCACATGCAGTTGGGAGTGAGAATCAAAATCAAAGCATGTGCATATTTTTTGGCAAAACATAAACATTACTCTGAAATAAAACTGAAACAAATTACTTAAAATGTCAATATATGGCAGAGGACGTTTGGAGGCCTGCAGCTTTTAAGTCAGCAGAGTGTTGGTGAATTTTTTCTTCTTCATCGATCAGTGATCCCGCTCTGTAACTTCATGTAGCATTTGTAGGTCTCTACATAGATTCATCAAAGCTGTAAGTCTTGATGGTTCAAAAAAAAATTCCACTTTGCAGTCAAATATCAAGGAGAGAATAAACTTTACAAACTGACTTGTTCCACTGGTGGCACCCTTTTACAGTAACATAATCAAAGTTATTGAGTGCTTTAGAGCCAGAGACGATGAATGGAAGAGTCGTGTCATCTCCATTCATACCCAGTAATAGCAGATCATTGCAATAGTTCTGGAAGTTAGCAACATAAGCTGGGTTCACAATGGAGATAAAGCAGCGCAGAAGATTGAGATGTACTTTTTAAAGGTAATATTTTTGGAAATAAATTCTTTGCTATCAGTACACTCAGATAAAATTAACTTGTGCTGTACAATGCATACCGGATGTATTGGCAGATTATCTACCAATACATTGGGAGATTTAAGTGCTGTAAATATATATATAATAAAGGTATATCAATCAATCAATATATATGTGATTATGTTGGCAGGACTAACTATAGTCACAGTCTGTTGGTATTCTGTTATTTTAATGCCCATTTACCAGATATCACAGAATTGGAGAATACAAGCTTTTGCGGTGGAGTTGAAGTTAAAATTGTATAAATTGTAAATGACCTCATTAATATTTTGTAAAGTGTTTTGTAAAGTTATGAGTGACTATTATATTGTTGGAGTGAATGCTTTTATTTTGAAAGTCACAGAGCGACAAGGTGCCGTAAATCAAGTGGTGTAAACCATATAGCAGAAGCGCGAGTTTTAATGCACAGAGAGAAGGTGTGCTCTAAGGTTAATGGACGGGAATGGGAAAAAGAACGGCTATTAAGATAAGATAAGATAAGATAAGATAACCTTTATTAGTCCCACACGTGGGAAATTTGTTTTGTCACAGCAGGAAGTGGACAGTGCAAAAGTTATGAGGCAAAAATTAGGATACAATAAGAATAAATACAGTACACAACTGTACAGAATAGAATAAAATAAAATACTATAATACTATATACAGTAGAATAAAATAAAATAAATATTCAATAAGATAAAAATAGAATACAAATACAAATGCTATATACAACTGAGTAAAAATACAACGATGACAGAAAGGATTATTGCACTTAGTATTATTGCATATGTATGGATGTGTGTGTTTGATCAGTTAAAGGAACACTGCAACACTGAGTTGAAAGCAGTTTCTTAGCACCTGGTTGATGAGGGAACAAGGTTTGTAACAAAGTTTGTCCTGTAGATATGTATTTTGTTGTTTTACGGAGCATATAGCTGCTGACCGCTACTAAGCATAAAGGCTAAGTTTTCACCCACTAGAGGGCGCTAACGTACCTCGTCATGTTTAGGCAGCGATGCAACGATTTCCCTGTTATATGCAATAATTTACAAGTTTTAGTGTTTTTTGTTACGTAAGGTAAGGAGAATTAATTTGTGATTAATGAATAAGTCAAAAGGTTAAAGGTAACACACTGTTTGATTTACTAATAGTCTTTTATTCTGTATGTTGTAGCTCTTACGGTGTGTTCACATACACGGCTGTTTAATAAAAGGATTGTGAACCATCAGTTTGAGAGACCATCTTTTCAACCGGGGATGCTACATAAATACATTACATTAAATTTGACTTAACAGCTATGGGTAACAGAAACTGTTCAGACAAATCCTCACAAAGGCTAGTTTACAGTTAAAATGCATTTATATCAATGCAACTATTTTTTGTGGTATGCAAATATCCTAATTCGATGCATTTATAGATTAACAATTACCCGTCTCTCTGACACTTCATTTAAATTTGCCGATAAGCACTACCGGAATTATTCTTAGCCAATGACAACAACCCGAATTCTGAAAACCCGCTGATGTAACTCCGACTTACTCAACGGCTCTGATTAGAATAACCCATTCCTTAACATGTTGTAAAGGCAGACTGCATGGCTAAGTGCTGTATTTTATACACGTGAAAACACCTGAATTCAAAGATTTATATGTTTGGCCCCATACGTTTTCAGCGTTTAGCTTACCTGCTTTCATACCAAAACGGTCTGCTATTTTCTCTCTCAGCTGCCGGACAGGCATTTTCTTCAATGTCTCCTCTGTGTCGCAGAGATCAACCACCCTTCTCTCTTTTCCCAACCCATACACAATGACCTGGCGGGTTTTACTCATGTTTTATGTAGCACTGTTTTTGTTTTGTTTTTCCGTGAGAGGCAACAGTAAATCCCGTCTAGTTAACCCTAATCTCTGAATGTGAGCTGAAGCTGTTTCAGGTCTAATTTTGAACCCGACGTCAGAGGGTGGGGCTGTGTGAGACTGGCGCTTTCATTTTTGTACGAATCATAATTAAAGGCATAAATGCTACCGTATGATTTCTTTTGATTGCCTAGTTTAAAGCCTAACCAACAACAGATGTGAATTTAATACGCTTTCAAACCTGACCAGCGACCCACTATGTTATTAGGTGTAACACAGAAAATTCTAGGTCATTTCATAAGAGACGAGGGGACTGGGTATTTGCAGTTTTCTGATTGAGTCTATCGCATAGTTAGTGTCAAATCCATCGTAGTCAGCATGCGTTCCTCAGCATCTCCTCATCATTCTAAGAACTACTAAAATAGTTTAGGTTGATATTACATATCATAACTGAACATGCTTTCCTCCCGCTGCATTTCCGGTATGTTGCGTTTATTCGTTAGTCTCTGGAAAACCCCGCAACGTAATGTGACACCTAGTATAAAAGAAAGCGAAAGTGTTTCAGCTGCATCAGTTACTTTGCAGTCGACACCAATAAAGAACGAAAGATGAGCTCAATTTCGAAAACTAAAGAAGAGAAATGTTACAACTCCACTTTTAATCTTGTAGATAGAGAGGATGTATTAGACTGTAAGTAACCAAAAATGTTCTTGTTTAGTCCGCTCTCATTTTTTTCAGTCTGCGAAAAACTCTTTATTCTGTTTTTTAGTCTACTGTGATGGTTTCGCGTCTGGAAAAGCTCTGATGTCCTGCGGTCATGCTGTGACCCCATCCTCTCTAACCAACTGGTGTCTTTGGTTGTTGGAGGAGGTAGGCTACATTATTATTCGTCTTTATTGTAAACTAATGATTAATTAGACCAGAGGCATTTCGAAATTCCACATTAGCAAAATCAGATATGATGAAATAAAACGGACAAATTTATTTAAGCTCTTTCAGTTTGAGGGCCTCTTGGATCACTGGATGTGTTTTCTTATAAAACAACATGTAAAACAAGAAGAAGGAAAGAAAGACAGAAAGAACTTCAAGATATTCACTTTGGTAAAAGACAGTAATTTCCTACCAAAATCAATGCAACAAGTAGAACTGAAGTTAACAAATCACACACAAAAAGTGACTTTAAATGCTAAAACTATGCCTGAATCTACAAGAAGTCAGAGTGTCCACATTAGTGGAGACAATCTGACTTATTTTGGTTTGGTTTGGTTTTGAATAACTGGACACATCCCTGGTGTGTATGGTTTCAAGAAAATCTCTCTCAGCTTCTCTTGTGCATTAACTGTTACTGGGGAAGGAGTGAGATATTGCTGAATGTGAGAAAGAGTATACAATATAATGTTTTTTGTAGTTTCAGTATTTAAAGTTAGTAAACTATAGCTTAAATTTGTTGGATTCAGATCCTGATGTTGAAACTGCTGGTTAGATGGCTTACACTTAAGAACAGCGTTTAGGGTTTATTTAGAAACTATCGTTTTAATAAATATATTTTTAAAATGTTTTACTACAGGGTGAAAGCAACTTTGTGTGTGCTCTACCTGGTTGTGATATCATATGGCCTTACGAAGAGGTTTGTAAAATGGCTCTTTTGACCCTGAGGAAAAGGAGTACTTTGGACAAACCATGGCCTTGAATGCTATGAAGCATCATTTTGATTACAAATTAGTAAGTACTGGAATGTTGTAATCATGAAGCATTAGCAGGCTATTATTACATGTTGACAAATAATTGTACTAGTTTATTTTTCATTTTTCATACTGTAGATTAGCTGTAATTATGTCTTTGGCCACCAAATTGAAGAATAAACAAAGCTATTTGCCTTGTCTTTTCCTCCACCATCAACCACATCACAGTGTCCTGGATGCAGTTCATCTGTTGTGAGAAAGGATGTATCTAACCTGAGTGTCTGCTGCAGCTGGTGCAGCAAAGAAAAAGACAGAACCTATGAGTTCTGTTGGCAGTGTTTGAAGGAATGGAAGGGTCCACGGCCTCGGTCAGACCGCTGTGACAATGTTGGCTGCTCCAACGAAACACTTCAAATATTGAAAAACTGTGAAGATATCATCTTTGAGTCTGTGAATAATGTCAGTGGTTGTCCCTGCATCCGTGCTTGTCCCACCTGTGGCGTGCTGGTGGAGCATAACAAAAAGAGTGTAAAAATATTGTCTGCCCAACATGTAAGAAGGAGTTCTGTTTTGTGTGCCTGAAACTCACAAGTGAATGTGCAGGAAAAAGAGGAATGCATTTCGGACCTTGTGCCGATGGTATGGTGGCCCCAAGACAGACCTCTATACCTACGTGGCAAAAGCAATAGATTTAACAGCGTCTTTTTTCTCTCTCTCTTCTTTGTTTGCTTTGCTCTGTTTTCCATCAATCTCTGATTTTGAAATGGCATCCCTTTATTTTAAACATGTTTTGTAAAATCTTGTGTAAAACTCTGTCTATTCAGCATCACAAAGTATTGAAATTGTTATGAAAAGAAAGCAAGATAGAATCTGTGGTTTTCTCTGTAGGAGTGTAGGCTCTTTACCTTATAATATAAAGTTCCCTGAGATGACTGTTGTTGTGATTTGCCACTATATGAATAAAACAGAATTGAATTGAATTAAGTTGAAAGTCTTATGTCTATATTATTAGGCTCAGAAACTGAAAAAGTTAGAAAAACTAACTCTGGTTTTGAAACTTCAGTAACAGAAAGTTCAGTGTTTGTAGAGGCTGCATGCTTTTCCCTCTCCTTCCCCTGTCCTTTCAGTTTTCTCGAGAACGTTGCCAATTGGTTCATTTGGTTTTCACCGGTTATCCTTTCACCTATTTTAATGAAAGTAAACACCGAACCTGTCCTCTACACACACCACAGAATGCCCGCCATTTTGTTTTAATTTAATCTTTATCACTTTCAGTTTCTCTCCAGCAGTTATGAGAAGTCATGTGACTACAGATTAGCAGCCGTGATTATTTTATACACTTTTATTTTACTTAATCCCTGTTAGTGCTGTTGGGAGTCGAGGTTTATGCATTTATTTTATGACTTATGGGTTTTATTGCACTACTTTTGGAACCTGGCACCATGTAGTCAAACTATACCTGATCTAACTCTGGGTGGATTATCTTACTTGGAGAGTTTGTGGGTTTAAAAATGGTAAATGGCCTGTATTTATATAGCGCTTTACTAGTCCCTAAGGACCCCAAAGCGCTTTACATATCCAGTCATCCACCCATTCACACACACATTCACACACTGTTTATTGTGTTGCTTTTGCCATTGTGGTGTTCTGAATGTGCATCAAACTGGATGTTAAACTGGATGTTAAAATGCTTTATTTTTTGTATTGTTATACAACCTGTCAGAGTTTTACCGCTGATACTGCTGGATAAACAGAAACTCTCTCAGGAAAGAGGTCACACAGAGCTCAAGGTTTCACTCGCGAGACGGAAGTAGTTGTCTTCAACCCACTTCAACTTGCTTCCCCCTGCAGGTTGTTTTTATTGTTTACACACATGGATATTCATAAAGCTTGTTGCTGTATTAACTAAGACAAATTACTATATATGGTTACAAAGTGTGTTGTGCAAGCGTGGTTATACGATGTGAGTGCAGCCCTCCCAGGATGTTGTCGTTATCTTGTCCCGCCAGGTGGCTTCCTTCATTGAATAGAGTCTGTTCTTCTCAAGGCTGCTTAATCCCTTTATGGAGGTCGTGTACATACACATATTCATGGGTTACATAGGAAGCAAACAAAAGTATTCTAGCTTTTTAAATGGCAATGTGTAGCTTTTAAATGGCAATGTGTAGCTTTTATGTAGTTACTATGGACTTACTGCATACATATTATTACAATTTGGGCTATAACGGTTGTATTGATGTATAGGAACATGAAATGCTCCCAAAAATGGCTCTACAGCATGTAAAAATGTAAAGATGAGCTCTGGTGGAGTTGGTTCTATGGTAGGTCTTAAAGGGTTACCAGTTTTAACCTAAGATTCTGGCGTTTCTGGCAAAATACATGTATATTTAAAAGTTGATTCAGGATTTACTGAATCGATATTGCTTTATAGAAGCTACTCACTTCTCTCTATCTGCTTGCACATTAACAGGTACACACGCAAAGGAGTACAGGAATACGTGTGTCTGTTGTTAATTACATGGAGACTTTCAGAGTTGCGCAGACTTTCTTTTTTGTTTGTTTGTTTGTTTTCTTTGCACTGACTGTTTAACATAATACTTGCTGATAAAAATTGGAGCACAACATTCACACTGCATTCTCCAAATAAATCAACAAAAAATTGTTTCAGTTAGTGTGCTGGTTTCAGTTAGTGCTCTCCATATGGTCTGTATGCCACTGATCTCTGTTGAAAAATGTAAAATATTAAAATAAACATCAATAATTTATGTTCAGTTACCACAAGTGGAGACTTGTCAAATAAATAATCTGACAACAAATACCTGACTTGTTTCTTTACTTCCTTTTTTTTTCTTTATCAATGCAACAAACCATGACCACCACCCGCATGTCTCGTTGTCTGCACTTGATTCAGCTTCTATTTCTACATCATTTAGTTCGTGAGCTTTAGTGCATATTGTGGCATGCAGAGGAATCTTTACAAAGAAGCTCACAGAGAGAGATTGAGCTTTTTATTCAACCCCAAGCTGGTAGGGGGAGCTCTTTATTACAACACTTGCTGATGCTACACTGTGCTTTGAGGGTCATTAACAGCATAACAGAACTCACTTATGGTTGCATTCATTCTATAAAACAATAACTGTAAGTGACTTTGAACCGCAGTACAAACACAACATTCAAGATAACAGTTAAAAGTAGTGTAACCATAAACAATAAAACAAGAACATCTAAACAGCAGCACATGTCCCAAGGCATGATGGGAGAGAACTAGCTGTTCCCCCAACACGCCACACAGCCCCCACCTGAGTGGTTAGCTGTCCCCAGCAACCAGCATGTCCATAGCAACGTCTGTGAGGTGTTGGGGAAGGCGATGGCTTCGTTGAGGACGTTCCGTGGGTCCCCCAGCTGCCTCCGAGGCCAGGTTGGGGGCCTGCAGTTTAAGCTGGGACCCTGACGCCTCCCTGGATGGACTCAAGGGCTGATAGGGTGCCAGGCGATCACGATGGAGTACGACCACCCTGTTCTGTTTGACCAGCCGCACCCTGTAGACCACGTCGGACAGCCTCTCAAGAACAGTGCAGGGTCCAACCCACTGGCTCATCAGTTTGGGAGAAAGCCCTTTTTTCCTCTCCGGGCTGTAGACCCACACATGCTGACCGGGAGAAAGTCCTTCCCCCTTGCAGCGGGTATCATAAGCTCGCTTCTGCCGGGAGCCCGCATCCCGGAGAGCCTGCCTGGTCAACTGATGCACCTCTCGGAGCCGGGCGAGGAGGTTGTGGAGGTAGTCCAGCCCGGGGTCCCCGCACACTTCCTGCTCGGGAGGGGATCCAAACACCAAGTCCACTGGGGTACGAAGCTCATGACCGAACATCAAGGCCGCTGGAGTGCACTTAGTAGATTCCTGGACTGCAGAACGGTAGGCCATTAGGACCAGGGGAAGGTGTTGATCCCAGTCACGCTGCTGGCGGGAGGTCAGGATAGTAAGCTGGGTGGCCAGGGTGCGGTTGAAGCGTTCCACCAACCCATCGCTTTGGGGGTGCAGTGGCGTCGTCCGGGTCTTCCTGATACCCAGCCGCTGACAGACCTCCTTGAACACCGCAGCCTCAAAATTCCGGCCCTGGTCGCTGTGCAGTTCCTCTGGTACCCCGAACCGGCAGAACATCTCGTTGACCAGACGCTCAGCAGTGGTAACAGCACTCTGGTCAGGGACCGCATAGGCCTCAGGCCACTTAGTGAAGTAGTCCATGGCAACCAGGACGTAGTGGTTCCCCAGGTCAGTGGTGGGGAAGGGTCCCAGGATGTCCACACCAACCCGCTCCATGGGAGCCCCACCTGACACTGCTGCAAGGGGGCATGAGAGCGTTAGGAAGGCCCTTTCTGAGCCATGCAGGCATCGCACCGATGGACATGGAGCTCTACGTCCTGGCCAGTAGAACCGAGACCGAAGTCGCCGCAGAGTCTTGGTAATTCCAAAGTGTCCTGCCCCCGCTGCACCATGGACCAGCTGGAGCACCCTGGACCGCAACTGTTGAGGTACCACGAGCTGGAAGACCTCACGGTGACCCCGGGAGCCTGCCAGCGGCGATAGAGGAGGCCATTTCGGTTTGTGAGGTTGGCCCATTGGGAGTAGAGAGCCTTGGTCTCGAGGTCCAGTGCAGATACCTCTGGCCATGATGGTCTCTGACCGGCTCCAATCCAACACTGAACCCGGGAAAGGGCAGGGTCTTGGTTCTGGTCATGTTGCAGCTGTTGGGGATCCATGGCCTCCAGACCCTCAGTATCCCCTGCGGCGGACTGGACCTGAAGACTGCTACAATGCCCACCTGGAACAGAGTCATTCTCAGGGCCGCCCTGTGGTGACGCGATCACTGAAGTCATGCCCTCCCGGTCCTCCAAGCGTTGGCAGTACCTGCACTGTTTTTCCTCACAAGGGCGTCGGGAAAGGGCATCTGCATTGGTGTGGAGGAGTCCCGCCCAGTGACGAACCTCAAAGTGGTAATCTTGCAACGTCTCCAACCACCGGGCTAGCTGTCCCTCCGGTTCTTTAAAGCTGAGCAGCCAAGTGAGGGACGCATGGTCTGTGCGCAGGAGGAACTTCTTCGCGTAGAGGTAGGGTCTGAAATGGCGGAGACCCAGGATGATGGCCAGCAGCTCTCGACGGGTGACACAATAGTTCCTCTCCGGTCTGCTGAGGGAATGGCTGTAGTAGGAGATGACCCGCTCCCCCTCAGGGCCTTCCTGCGACAGTACAGCCCCACCCCTGTGTTGCTGGCATCAGTGTCCACAACAAAAGGGAGCTGCAGGTCTGGGTAGGCTAGCACCGGTGCCTCAACCAGTGCAGATCGGAGCCGATCAAATGCCACGGCACTGTCCTCACTCCAATGGAACTCCCGGCCCTTCTGTGTGAGCGAGTGCAGGGGGCTTGCAATGGTAGCAAAGTCCTTGACGAAACGTCGGTAGTATGATGCCAGGCCAAGGAAGCTCCGCAACTCAGCAGTGTTGCCCGGAATGGGCCAGTCTTTCACAGCGGCCACGTTCGCAGGGTCAGTGGAAACCCCTGCTCCGCTCACAACGTGACCCAAGAAGGTCGTCTCCTTTCGGAAGAGGTGGCACTTTTTGGGTGGAGGCGAAGGCCAGCCTGGCAGATAGCATGGAAAACAGCAGTCAGGTTAGCCAAGGCTTTCTCGAAGTCTGTCGCGTGGACGAGGAGGTCATCCAGGTAGACCACACAGCGGTCGCGGGGAACCCAGAACCAGCCAGAACCCTCTCCATTAGGCGCTCGAATGTGACTGGGGCATTGCAGAGGCCGAAGGGCATCACCTTAAACTGCCACAGTCCCTGGCCAATGGAGAAAGTAGTCTTTGGGCGGGCCTCTGGCGTCAGCTCCACCTGCCAGTAGCCACTGCGCAAATCGAGGGAACTGAACCAGCAGGACCCAGCAATGTCGTCGAGGGCATCGTCAATCCGGGGCAATGGGTAGGAGTCCTTGCGTGTGATGCTGTTGAGTAGACGATAGTCGACACACAACCGCCAGGTACCATCCTTTTTCCGAACCAGTACAGCCGGGGCTGCCCAGGGGTTGTTTGAGGGTTCGATGATGCCCGCCTCTGCCATTTCCCCTGATCTTCTGCTCTGCTGCGGCACGCTTGGCAAGGGGAAGGCGACGAGGGCGGAGGCGGATGGGCCGTGCATCCCCAGTGTCAATGTCATGTTGTACCAGGCTGGTTTGCATGCAGTCCTCATCCTTGGCTGCAAAGATGTCGGCAAACAAGTCAAGTATCTCTCGCAGCTGCCATCGCTGATCAGCCTGGAGACCCTCGCAGCTCCTCTGGTATAGGTCCTCGACAGCTTGCTTGGTCTCTGCAGACAGTTGCGGTACTGCTGGTGAAGGGAGGCCCCTTCCCCTGCCAGCGGCAACAGGTCCTCAGGCTTCCTGACGCTGGCTGAAAAGTGGAGGCAGGCAGCGGGACTTCCTCTGTGGTGTGGAGCTTCACAGCCTCCGTGCCCAGGTAAAGGATTGCTCGGGACACGTCCACTGTGGCCTCCCATTTGGCTAGCAGGTCCAGGCCAATGATGCATTGGTCCTGGATGCTGGCTAGCCAGAACTGGTGGTCCACGGTGCAGTTAGCAACAGTCACCGGGAGGGATCTTTCCCCCTTAACTTTGGCACGCTCCCTCGTGACTGTGGTGATGTGGAGCTGAGTAGGCTGCCAACCCTGCGGTATTGGGCCATCAGTACCAGGGAGGACTCCAGCCTGTACCAAGGAAAGCGTGGATCCAGTGTCTATCAGGGCTCTACAGGTGGTGCCGGCAAGGTCACAGTCCAGATACAGTCCCCGTGTCTGGCCGAGCCGGCCAACCTGCAAGTGTGATTCGGAGGACAGAGTGGTGGCAGGGGGCAGTTCCTCCGTTGTGCCACCCCGCCTTAGTTTAACGGCAGCTGGGGTGCCAGGCTTTGTGGGCTTGGTGCTGGACAGTAGCGTGCGATGTGGCCTGGTTCTCCGCACCGATGGCAGTTACCCCTGGATTGGCCTCCTGCTCGCCTATTCCCTCGCCGAGATCGCCAGGGTGGTGTGTTGGTGGTTTGGCAGGCCTCCTCCTCCTGGTCGCTCCTTTCGTAGTCCGTTTGGCGCACTTGGTGACTTATGCCAGGGCTGCGTGCACCTGGGCTGAGCACATGCTCCACTCTTTCGGCCTCAGTTAGAGCTGCCACCAGGGTTTCTGGTGC